TTAATTAGGATGCTCATTGTAATCAACTAATTCATTACTGAAACCAAGGTGCTCATAGGAAACTTAGCTACTTAATATAACATGTCCTGGCTGAGATTTATTTTTCCTGATGCTTATAATGATTTTTAAACTTTACTTTTCAGGTGACTCCTCCTCTATCTTGTCTTGGCGCGTTTATCTTTAGTTCATTTCTTTCCTGCTCCATTCTGACCCTGAAAGCTGATGGACTGCTGTTGGGCTGTCTTCTCAAAGTTGTGGGTTTGAAGCTCTTGTTGAGAAGGGCCTCCATAGAAATGTTCTAGGCTCTGACTATTAATCCGAAGGTGAGCACTCCTACCACCTCTGCCTGTGCTTTAGCAAACATCCATTAATCTCTACCCAAATGCATGACTTAGGTGACTAAGGACAAGAGATATTTTTACTCTTTGAATGAATACTGCAGCTAAAACAGATTAACAGGGGAGTGAGCACTCCTCCATGTGTATCACTTCTCACCCAGGGACGGCTGAGGGTCTGCGCTCAGCTGCTGATTCTGCTGCAGGGACTGGAGATTCATGTTAGCTTTTAGGCTTCATAACATAGGGCCTGAAACACTAATATCTCCTTCTGGGTACAGCACTGAGTCTTCTACCATTATTAAGGGTGTTGCCCACTTGATGTCCTTATTTAGCATGTCATTTATATTGGAAATTAAGGGGAAGTGGGATTTACTCTATAAAGGCAGCTCAGGTACTATGCTAGTCATTTATTCCATTTCCTGCACTCTGTCTTTATTGCCACAGATATTTCTGGTTTACCTTTGTTTTATTTTCAAATAAAGAAATACATGGAAACCAGCTCAGAGATCTGACTACTTTTGGTATGTGTCCTGATCTGCAGTTTTGCTCTCCTTAATGCAAGTGTATTACACTGTGTGTCCTTGCCACAGAGGCTGAAGGCACCACCAGCTCTCAGTATACGTGTGCAATGTTTCCAAACATTCAAATCATGTCCTTAAAGTACAAGCAGAATTGACTGCATTTGTATTGTATATGGACTATATTTGAACCTGAACTTTGGCATCCCCTTATCTTTTCCTAACTGTGAATAAGCTAACAAAGCTTTTGAACAGTGTTTATTTAAAATGTAGAGTCTGCATCTGCGTATTAGATACATCTGCACATCAGATACAAGTTCTCCATAAACAATCAGGAGTCAAAGTCATCAATATGTTTTCTGACAGACCATTTTCTCCTAATTTAAAATAACATTTTTATTTTAATAATATGAGATTTTATGAGATAATATGAGATTTTTCAAACAGATACTACCACTTGCTATTCCAAGTGTTTGGGAGGAAGATTCTAAAGTTGGAAAAAAATCATGCTGTGTATTTTCAGAAAAAGAGATAAAAGAGATTATAAAGAAACTAATGAAAAAATATCACTAGAATATTTACAAAATAATTATTAAACTCTTTTTAGTAATCACCTAGAAATAATAAATTTATTATAATTAGCCAGTGTAGGATTGTCAATAAAACTCCCTGTGAAACAAACTGAATTTTCTTCTTTGGCACAAAGCTGACCTCATGGACAGTGATGAAGCAGTAAATATGCTATATGTCTCTATCAGCAGCATTCACTATATACTTATCTTGAGGTTCTCATCAGTAAGCTAAGGAAATATTGTGTAGGTGGGTCATGAGTGGGATTGCCTCTGAAGTAATTCTCAAAAAGTAAGTATCAGTTGTGTACTCTCAAGCCAGGAGGACGTTTCAAGTAGATTTCTGAAAAGTTCTGATCTCAGATGACTTCTATTAAATAGGTTAATGAATGGGTTGGATAAGGAAATAAAAGGCCATAACATTAGCAAATGACTACAAGAAACAAGGAGATAGTTAAAAGCATTTTGAAAATGGAATAGGAATCAAAGATAATCTTGAAAAATCAGAGATGGTCTAAAATCAGTAAGGTAAAATTCAGCAAAGGTAAGTGCACAGTACTACACAGAGGTAGCAGAGCTCAAATCCTCAAATAAAAATAGATAATGAATAACTGGGAAGCAATATGTTTTGAAAGGTTATGAGGATTACTCAGCATTACAGGCTTGAGTAGTGGTCAATACTGTGGCGAAGGTGAAAAAGCAGGCAGACCTCAATGTAGGATGTATTAACAGAGAGTTTTAAACAGCCTGCAGAAGATGCACAGCGGGAGGTCTTGTCGGTGACACCTAGAGAAACAGGCTCTAACAGAATGGATAGTCAAGAAGATGACAGCAGGGCCAACAACAGTTTTAGAAAGCAAAGCATAGCCCATTAAGAAATTTGGTTAATTTAGCCCGGATAAAGAAAAAAAGGAGTAAGCCAAAGTGGTCTTTTGCAGACAGTAGTTTATAGTGATTGTGCTTTGGGAAGGCGGCAAAGAAAAAAAAGAAAGCAAAGAAGACTTTGAGTATATTACAGGACTCCCTCACCCCACACTTGGTGCTAAGGTGATGAAACCAGGAAGAAGGTAGTTAGGGTGGCTGTGGAGTGTACCTGGCTGGAAGTTCTCTGAGAGAAGGCAGGCAAACTCCTGCCAGAGATAGTCATGCTGTACATGAGCCTGCTGCAGTGCAGGAGTGCTCTACTGGATGACTTCTGTCAGATTCCTTCAGTCCCAATGTTTTTAAGAAAATATCCAGTGAGTTGGAATTTCTCACTACAAGTGAACATTAACTGACAGGTAAACCTTTTCTGCTTCCTCCATCCACTTCCAACTACGACCTTTAGTACTCTGCATTTTGACTATTTAATATTTCTTTTTTTTCCCCCCTGAAATATTTAGGTGGTGGTTTTAATTCATTTGTGAGAAAAAACAAGAGAACTAACGGCTTTCCAGTGAATTTGTGTTCACTATTTCTCTCGCATTCTGCTGCAATAAACATAGGATTTCTCCCAGCCCCCGTGCACTCTTTGCATAGTTTATTAAAGCCTCATGGCACTGTGTTCACTATCAACAGTACTTCCCACTCCCCTTGTCCTTTTGAGTTTCACTCCACCAGCCCCCTTGGTTGTTCCCTGGCTGTTGGATAGGGAGGCTGCCCTGTATGCTCCAGCTGTTTTGGGGTATATTTATGCTTACTGGCCAATATGAGAGCCAAATGAAAGACCAGAGAGACCATTTAATTGTTGAATTCACTCTGAAGCTTTTCCCTCAGCACACAAATGAACATGGGTTGCTTTCTTTGATCCATCTGTGAGTTTCACAACACTTGTAGACGCTTGTAGACTGCTGTCAAACTTACCTGAAATGAACTAATGGGATCAGAAATTACTGGCAGACAGAAAGGCCTCATCAGACAGACAAAAATATCACTGCAAGAACATGATTTGTTTAAGTAATCAAGCTAAAAGTAAAAGTATTTTTATTTTGAGAATACTTTATTTTCATGTGTTTTTAAATAGCATAAGCAATGATTTTGATAAATGTTTTGTTTCTGTTTTGTGAGAGAAATACAACACATAATTTAAAAAGTTTTATCACTTATTCCTGTGGAAACTCTATATTTCACCTAAAAAGTCCAGGACAAATACTAATAACTGAGTCTTTTAATACATTTCACAGCTACAACAGCCTTTCCTTCATTCCAACTGGTTTTAATAATGCTGATTTTAATAATTCTGACGCTTCTAGCATTTCAAATTTCAAGATCTTTTTGTATAGGCCATATTTGAAGAAAGTAGGTTACACACTCCAGTCTGTTAAAAACAGCTAACACTTTGCACTACTATTTTTTCTACACTGTAATTAGACTCAGGTAGAGCTGACTTCTATCCTGATAGGTAATACAGTGAATCGAGACACTTCATGGACAAGTACATTGCATGCAGCACTTGCAATAGTTGTAACAACTCAGATATATTCAGGACAGTGGTCAGATGCCTCCTGATTCCTCGCCAGTGGGTGGCTTGATGCAGCACCTCTGGCACAACTGAGGCAGAAGCATAGGAAACATTATTCAGTCACCTGTGTCACCTTGTGTCTCAGGGACTCTCATCCATTTTCACAATTCAGTTTTCACATTGTCGTGGTCACAGCTGAACAGATTTCTTTCATGCTCAGCTGATTACGAATGACAATCCAGAACCATCAGTGCATTTTAATACTAAATAAAAATACAAAGATCAAAGGTTTCTACACCTCTTCCAACCCTTAGTAAACTCACACAAATAAAATATTTGGTAATTTCCTTAATCTAGGAGGATATTATCTTTCCATATTGCCAATTCCCTGGATTTGGGCAATTAATGGCAGGCTTTGGGTCCCACAGCATAGTTCTTACAAAGCTATAAGAAGCTGCACATTTGCAATGGCTTAAAATCTGTTTGTGTCTTACTCTGGACCTGGCTGTACATAGTAGCTGTTTGGGATCAGGTCTGAACTGACTGCAGGAGGAAGCCCTACAGGATAAAGAAAACCTCTTTGAACCCTCTGTGATGCAGCGGTACAAGACTCAACAATGATCCCAGCATCCTTATTGAGAAAGTCCTCCAGCTAACCTGTCATTCTCTCCCTCCGACTTGGAAGAAGTGGAGCAGGGAGCACAAACACAGAGCAGACCGATAAGACAGGAAAGAGAGTCTTCTAACGCTTGAGATTAAGGGAGAGACCTCCAGCAGCTGGAGCTGTGCCCTAAGCCGTTTGGGCCTTTGCTCCTGGCAAACCTTTGGATTAAGAACTACACTTCTGGGGTTATTACTGAAGGACAAGGGGGTGGGAGAACAGTGAGTGCTACTGGAGAAGGGCATTTGGAAGGACTATGAGGAGATCAGGAAGTAGAAGGGACTTACTCTGCAAGTACATTAAGGGGATATTTGATTATCCTGAGAATGTGTGAATGTGGACATTTAGCAGCTCTATTGCAATGTAGATAGGTACTAATAGTCAGGCTAGAATAGGGGAAGTGAATTCTCAACAGGGAAGTACCTTTCCTTTAGAACAGCCCTTGTCTGTCAATAAAGAGAACCAGCACAGGTGCACCATTAAAGAAATGCTTGTTTATTTATGTTGCCAGCGATATCTCCCCATGTAACAGATCCCATGTTATCTTAGCTCAGTCCTGAGGGCTGCTGCTTTCAAAATCGCTGGTTCTCTCTTATCCGCAGTAAACGATGCATCTTTAGGTATTTGCTCAGAGCAGACTTGGAAGCACAGACTCCCCGTGCTGTGCTAAACTGTAAATACCAGCTTCTAAGCTGCTCAGTATACTCAGTTTCTAAATAATCTCACCAACTATTCACTTGAGGGAAAGTTCAGTAGAAGTAAATTTTTCTTAGGCAGTGAATATCCTCTTCAACTGCATGTAACAAGAGCAAAAAAGTATTTATAACTTTCTCTCTTATCCACACAAGATATTATGACTATTAAAGATGTCCACAGGCAAAGATAAAATGTATAATATCATGTTACATGTCCCAGGATATATGTAATTTACATTTAGCTATGTTAGAGATTATGCTTTAAGGAACAGATACATCTTGTCAGTGGTTTAAAATTAGATCATATATTCTGCATGACTGAAATCTGCTCCTTATAGGATGTGCATGCATGTGTGTGTGTGAGGAAAAAAAAAAGGTCCTCTTTTACTACTCTCTTCATCTGCACTTTTGAGTTCCAAAACGGAATTTTATATTAAATGAGAATTTAATATAATTTAATTAAATTAAAATTAAATTAAATTAAATACAATTAAATTAATTGTATTTAGGAGATTTTGCTGTGGACCACTTTCTGTAAAATTCACCCTTTGCTAACTGCCTCCTGTCACAAACTCCTCATCCAACAGCAAGATATTGAGCAGATGAATACTTCTACCAAAGAAAACACACCAAGTTAAACACACGAGTAAATGCTTTGCTAAACTAGATCCTTATTACTGATCACGATGGCTTATCTGGAAAATCCCAACTACCTCTTCTATGCATTTGTGTTATTCCAAGGGGGGTTTCCACAGAGCGGGAGGAAAGCTGAGTGATCAGCCTCTGCTGCTTTGGCTCCACACAGGTGCTCTGCAGGTCAGTGTTGAAAGCCACGGGATTAAGGGCTTAGTTTTGAAAACAGCAGTAGGAATTAGCACCTTGAAGTTAAAACACCAAGGGGAAAAAGAAAAGATCATGGTTATATAAATACAATCAGCCAGCCACTGTAGTTGCAGGGAGAGTGGCTCAGTGCCCATTCCGGTGGGATGTGGGGCAGGTGAAGCAGGGTGGGCAGGTGGGGCAGCCCACGCGAGGAGCCCGCGGTCGATGTGGGTATCCTGGATGTGGGCCCGGACATCCCAGAAGGCAGAGTTGCCCATTCCCACCCAAACGTCGTTCCCTCAGCCAAACACCTCCTTCCTCCCTCCGGGGCAGCCCAAGTGGGCCCACGCGGCCCGGCGGAAGCCGAGGAGCAACCCGTGTCCCCGCCACCCACCCCTGCACCGCTGGAGGCAACAGTGCCTTCCCCACGGCGAACGCAGCCCTGACAGGCGGTAGCCCACGCTGCAGATCTCGCTGTAGCCGCCTTCCCCGGAGCGCCGGGCTTCTCCCGCTCCCCGCGGCGGTGGGAGGCGGAGGTATTTTGGGCACCGGCACCCCCCTCCTCCGCTCGCCCCGCGGTCGCTCCCGCCGGTCGCCCCCGGAGCGTGGGCGCAGAGGGAGCGGCGCCGCCCCTCGCCCCGACACCAGGTGTCGCTGCCCCCCGCCGCGGGCAGCCCCGGGCGCGGCGTAGCCCCCGCGGGTTCCCCGCCCGCGACCCCCGACCCTCGGGAGAGCCGAGCGGTGCCGGCGGGGCGGGCGCCTCTCCGCCTCCGCCCCGCGCTGAGCCGGCGGCAGGTGAGGAGAGGTGCCTCGACGCCTCTCTCCGCGCCGGCAGCAGCACCGCCTCCCCCAGCGCCGCACGGCGCCGTCCTCCTGCCCCGTGAGTGGCTGCCGGCTGACTGACAGGCGAGGCGGCCACATAGGGCGGCCGCTGCCCGGCGTACACCTATAAGGGCCGGCGGTGAGGGGCGCCGCGCGGTGCCCGTGGCGGAGCCGCCTGCAGAGCATCCTCCCGCGGCCGGGTGTCCTCGCTCGGAGCGCCGAGCGCTGGCTCCCCCGCAGCAGCCCCGCCCGCCGACTCCCGCAGCAAGTGGCAGTCCCGCGCCGCGGGCCCCCCTCTCCGGCAGCGGCGCCCGAAGGATGCGGAGCGGCGGGGCGCGGGCGGCGGTGGGGCGCCGCGGGGGGACCCGCCGCTGCGCCGGGCGCGGGCGCCGCCGCCCCTGCGCGCTGCGCCGGGCAGCAGCAGCAGTAGCAGCTCAGTGAGCGCGGTGGCCGCGGCGGGAGGAGGCGCAGGCGGGCTCGGCGCTGCCGTCGCCGGAGGGGCTGCGCCCCGCTCCGCGCCGGCGGTGGGGCTGCGCGGCGCCCCGTGCTGGGGGAGGCGCGGGCGGCGCCGCCACAGGTGACTCGCGGGCCGGGGGCCGCGTTCCGCCGCCCCTGCGCGTTCGCGCCCCTGCGCCGCGGCCGCCTGCGCGAAGCCCATCCTCAGCCGCCTCGCCGTGCCGGCGCCGCCGGCAGCACCGGGGGACATGGCTTTGCTCTGGCTTCTTCTCCTCCTGCTCCTCGCCCAGCGCGGACCGGGGGCTGCCGCCGGCCAAGGGCAGGCGGTGCGCGGCCGGGAGCGGGCGCTCGGAGGGACGCAGTCTATTTACAACCACATCAAGAGCCGGGAGCCTCCGCCGGCCCCGCGGAGCCGCTCTACGGAGAGCACCATCTTGGCGCAGCGGCTCGCCGAGGAGGTGCCCCAGGACGTGGCCTCGTTCCTCTACACGGGCGACTCCCGGGAGTTGCGGCGAGCCAACTGCTCCGGGCGGTACGAGCTGGCCAGCCTCGCCGGCAAGTCGCGCTTCACCTCGCACCCCTCCCTGCATGGGGCCCTGGGCACCCTCACCCACGCCACCAACTTACTCAACGTGATCCTCCAGAGCAATAAGTCCCGGGAGCAGAACTTGCAGGAGGACCTGGAGTGGTACCGCGCCTTGATCAGGAGCCTGCTGGAGGAGGACCCCAACATCTCCAGGGCAGCTATCACTTTTAGCACGGAGCCCTTCTCCTCCACTCCCCAGGTTTTCCTCCAGGCCAGCAGGAACGAGAGCCATGTTCTCCTGCAGGACTTATCCTCCTCAGCTCACCGACTGGCCAATGCCTCTGTGGAAACAGAGTGGTTCCACAGCTTGAAGCGCAAGTGGAGGCCACATCTCCACAGGAAGGTCTTAAACACGGGCCCCAAAACTTTGGAGAACAGCTGGAAGAGGCGGGAGAGCTTCGCTGCTGATAAGAGCCACATCAGGTGGTCCTCACCATACCTAGAGTGTGAGAATGGGAATTACAAACCCGGCTGGCTGGTGACTCTCTCGGCGGCTTTCTATGGGCGACCAAACGTCATCCCCGAGTTCAGGTAGGAGGAGTTCTTCTTGCTTTCTATTGAGAAGGGGGGGTTAAGTGGGGGTTTGGTTCTGCCTCCCTCCTAAGGAAGGGGGGCTATGTCTCTGGAGTGACCTGATCAACCCCTGCCGCGCGGGCTGCTCAGTGACACCGCAGGGCAACCTCAGGCCTTCCTGTTGAGCTGTACCTTCCTATGCCTTAGGGAGCTGTTGCTCAGTAAGAGAATCGCTGTCATCTCCATCTGTAAGACAACGTTTGCTTTACCTGCTCCCCTGGAAGCAGATGTGCATGTGAGTTACGTTCCTAGTGTGTTTGCGGTGGGGAGAGGAGAGCAGCAGTTGCTGGTTGAAGTTTATTTCTGCCTGCAAGAGGAAGATGTTTATTGAGGTGTTATTTCACTGTATACAGTGTAGTTAAACCTAGCTTGACCCCAGCTATGATTTTAACCAGCTTGGAAACCTCAGTGTTGTGCTGGTAAACTGCAATTTCTGGTCTCCAGAGCGCATCCACGGTGGGGTGCTCAAGCCTGGTCAGTGGTCAGTACACTTTTAGGTAAATAAGCGTTGGTGACAGCAGTTCTGTCATAGTGCATGTGGCTATAACCACAGTATAATTGGCAGTAGGAAAGCGTTCCTTAGGACACTCCTGGCTACATAGCTGTGTAGTTGATACCTGGAATGTGTAAAGATTTGCGTATTTTTTATTGCTGTTAATCCCAGCACTTTGCACTGGGCTGTGACTAGCAGAAGGGACGATATAAAAGACTCTTTCTTGTATCTTTGTATTTTGACAGCAGAGAGATTTGCTCAAAGAATGAGAGCAACCTGTGGGGTACGAGAAGCCAGATTTTCCTGCTGGCGGTTCTGTGATGGGGTTCATGGGTAGCTCTGCCCATTGGGGCATACCCACTGCCCAGAAGTAGCTGGCATTTCTCAGAGGATGAGAGAGGAACACGGAATTTGCTTTGTGCTATGAGTTAGTAGTAGGTAAGAATAGATAAGAACACAGCAGACACCAAAGAGATTTTGCCGTACCTAGGTGATGAGGCAATAGTGTCTGTGAATGCTGTTTTTGTTGGCTTAGTCCGAAATCCAGTGGGATCAGAGTGATATGAATGCAGTCATGAATCCTTAGAGGGGGAAAAAAAAAAATCTGTTGAATGGAGGGTGACTGCTTATTTCTCTGTTGAATTGCTTTTTGCCTTGAAATTTTCATGCTTATGGGGATGGTAGGGTTAAGGTAAAGTGAGCTCATCTGTAGGCTGTTTGTTGCTGAATTCCTCTTGAGATCAAAACCCAAGAATAGGTCTACTGCAGAGCTCTTCTGGACCCTAGAGGGTGCAGAGAAGTTCAGGAAACTTCTCATAGATGACTGAAATGCACTTGATGGATTTCAGGATGTGGATGAAAGTTAATGTAGGCTGATATTCTCTTGTTGGGTACAGAGGTTCACAGAACCTGCAGAATCACCAGGCTGGAGGTGGGGTGGCAGCCACAAGCCAGGTATTCGAGAATGTAAATTTGGATATAAAGCATGATTCAAAGAAGCTTCAATCTTGTCTTCAATGAAGAGGAAATAAACTCATGTCTAAAGCTTCAATCTCAGCTCTGTGCCAAGATCCTGTGATGCCAGAAGGCATCTTAGTGGTGTAGGTTTCTGCTGTGGTAGCTTTGGTATGCAGGAAACACCAGGTCCCTTTTTGGAGTAACTGTGGCCAACCAAGGCAACCAGTAGATGTCCTCCTGGATGCAGTAAGAGCACTGCCTTCCCTGCCTCGCCTTCCCAGCCTCTGTTTGCCACGTGAGAGTCACTTCAGTTGAAGAAATAGAATAACCTATTATAACTCTGATACTTCAAAGGGCATCCATTGAGCTCATCTAAGCTTGGAGAACCACCTCGTATTTAGAAGATCTTGAAATGGAGTATGCTGTGCAAGTGCTAAGTGTTGTATCGCTGTTATACCCAACAGTTAGGACAAAACTAACAAAGTTTTGTTGTTGGTAAGCATTTCTAAGAGAATGAGTCTGTATGTTTTTTGTAACTATTAAAGAAGCAGGTGGAAGAAGTACATTTATAAATACACATGTGCACATATTCTGCCAAGGCTAAATGATAGTTCCTGTGTTCCTAGTTTGAGGTATGTTACATGAAAGATAGGCTTCTAATACAAACTTTTTTTTTCTTTTTAGATATTGAGAAAGTAACTTTACAGCTGCATAGGAAATACTACACGCAAAATATGCTTCTTCCAAGATTTATGGTTTGTCTTAATATTTGCAGAATGTTTTCTATACTTGATAGGTACACAGCCTCAGCGTGAGTTCTTAAGAGGAAAAATGGTTCCAGGTACGAGCACGCAATAGAAAAATGTAAAATCTAATGTAGTTACTGGAAAATTACTGTGAATCACTGTAAGGTGCCTCTTGAAATAAGCTTTATTTCTCCTCACCACCAGTCTTTGAGTGACACAATATTTTGACTTTAAATTCCTGTTTAAGGCCTGTATGATAAGACAGTATTTATTAACCTCCATCTTTTGAAAAAGCTGCATTGGTTCTCCAAACAAAGTATCTTTGAACCATCTGTTAGGAAGATATTAATGCATTAGTTAATATGCTCCTTCCATTTAATAATCTGATACGAGATTGTTAATGGTAATGTAGTGCATGCCACTTTAATATTATTCTACCAGTTTGTGGACTCTTCCTTGTATTAGGTTTATGGCATGGTACATGAGGGTAAGACATTCAGGAGTATGCTATATCCATGGAATAGAGTTCTTTCAGATTACAGAAGGAAAACCCATTGCTCCTTCTTCTTGATATCTCTTCTGTGGCAGCAACAGATGAGTATGTCATGTGGTATAGCAATGGAAAGAGTTTAATGAAGGCAATACTAATAATTACTACTGGCTATGTTCAATATATGCTACTACTGTAGTGCTGTTGTCAATGGCATTCCGAAGGTGCAGCAAAAAGCAGCAAGCTTTGCCCTTCACGTTGTGAAGGGTTATAGTGCTTTATGCTGGAGGATGTGAGTGTTAACAGCCCAGGGGGCTCTTGCAAACAGCTTGCTGTCTTCAACTTCACCTCCCTCCTTACCAAGAGATTGCTGCCAAACTGTCCGAAGTGAAGGCCAAGGAGAGAATATGGTTGTTTAAGTTGTCTTGTCAGGGCTAACACTGTAGGACAATACTGAGATGAAACAGAAACCAAAGACAACTTGGTTGTGCTGATAAATGTACCAGAAGCTGTTCAGGCCCAGTGGGATCACATTAGCCCAGTACAATGCTAAGTTAGTAGTGCTGGCTGGCTGCAGCTTCTTAGCAGTGCTTGCTGGTATTTTATTGTCTGCATTTGCTGGTCGTTGGTCCACCCAAAGTACAGAGAGAGAACATTACTACCTGCTTACAAGATGCAGTGCAAGCTCTCATTCAGAAATGGGGATCAACAGAGACTAGAAGTAATCACTTGATGTTAACCATCTCTTCTCCTTTCTTAAGAAGTCTAAACTGATGCAGTTTGCAGCTGGAATTCACCATCTAATGTGCCTAATCACTCCTCAACTCTAGTGCTGCAGAGGGTAGAACACAATAGCATTTGTCACAGATCTTCTGTGACCCTCCTCTGCTACTGCCTATCATGTGATGAGAATGAACAATATTTCATAGCACATGATGACCCAACTGGCCTCTTTGCAGCCCTGCTGAGAAAGTGAAAAGGTATGAGAAGCTGCATGTTGTGTAAATACAGTTCCTTCTCTAAAAGTATTTGCTTGGCCCTTGGAGAGGAGGTGGGAGGTT